TGTGGTGCTGGGGGATTGAACCGCGGTCCCTGATGCTTTGCTAAGCTTGTTCTAAGTAGGTGCTTTAGACCACTGAGCCATCTCTCCAGCCCCCCAAATACATTTTTAAAAAAGAAAAAAACGTTAAAAAAAATAAATATACAAGTATTGTATATTCTGCCAAAGCAAGGGTAGTACTGGAATAAGCGAGAACCTGTTGTTGAAGCAATGTAGACGCCGCATGTATTACTTTGAATAGCTAGCTATAGCCCAGTGTTATATCTCTTAAAAATAATAACTATAGGTTTCCTATAATTTAGAAGTTGAAGTCGGATTGTGAGTGTTTCAAGGATCACTGCTCCTTAGAGTAGTTTAATTATTAGTAAACTTAAAAATGAAGCAGATGTTCTCTTTAAATTATGATTTAGCTTGAAACACGTAATGCGCTCATAAACCCAGACTGCTTCGCTCACTCGGCGTCTTCTCCACAACACCACCTCTCCTGTGCTCCATAACCCAGCAGCTGTGCTGCTCCTCAGGTGTGAAAGAGGTCGGCTGTGGTGTCCTGCTTATGTTTGGAGGCAGCAGGTCAGCATCTCTCAATGCTGCTGCTACATTATTTTCATAAGGATGTTACTTGTTCAAAAGTAGTATTTATATGTCACAAGAGTGACATATAAAGTAGTATTTATATGTCATATAGTATCTATCTATCTATCTATCTATCTATCTATCTATCTATCTATCTATCTATCTATTCCAAGGGCTATGGATGTAACTCAGTGGTTGAATAGCTTACCTAACTTAACTAGTATGTGCAGGACCCTAGGTTCCATCCCCAGTACCACTAAACAGAGTAACACCGCCTCAAAACAAAAGTCCAAATAAAACTTACAACTCCGCAACATAAAATGATCCAAAGAAGCACGTTGTCATTTTATGTGACTCCTAATTAATGGGTTCTCTAAAGGAAACTGCCATGTATGTGCTCTGTGCTGATGGGCAGCAGCCTCCTGGCGGTGAAGGTCCAGTGGTACCTCATTAAGTTTAGTGACGTAAGGTCAGTTTTCTCCAGGTTAAGGGATATTGTAGATGTTGGTAACCGACACTCTGCTACCTTCTCGGGGAGTCCTAATGCCATATAGATATGTATGTATGTATGTATGTATGTATGTATATATATGACAGTATTATATATATGTATGTATGCTGCTGTCATATAGCCAGTCATATATGTAAAACCCATGTTCAGAGTAGTTTCAGTTTTGTCGTTTATTTTGATGTTAGACGATCGTGGTCTCTGCCACGAAATCCTTCTCTTCCTCACAGGAACTGTGCTTGATCCTGTGGGTGGAGTGGCATCAGAGCAGATGCTTAGCGGAAGGCACATCTGTTAGGACAATGACTTTGGCCTTTTGTATGTCAGGCTCCTGAGTTTCTGAGCGCAGTGAAGCTTCTAGCCTCTGGGAAGTAGTGTTTATATTTTCTGGTGGGGCAGAGTTAGAAGGGCACTTAGACACAGTGAAGGAGCCGGAAGAGAGCTTTCTTTAAGTAAGAATCAATTACTCTTCTCCTACTCCTCCGTCCGTTGCCTCCCTCCTTCCCTCGAGCCCATGTCCCACTGAGAAGCATCCATCTCCCAACTTTCTGTTTTCTCTTCTGTTTTGTTCTTTATCTTTGCTCTGGGTTTCCCATCTGAGAGAAACAGCACAGTATTTAAGCTTATGTGTGTTCTGTACGTGTAGCCACTCCACACGAAGAATGTAAACAGTGTACTGCAACACCCCCCAAGAAAGGAAAAGAGCAGAAAGAGGGAGGCCCGAGGGATGAGTGGAGGGGAAAGGCGGGAAAGAATAAGGGCTGAAAAAAGGAATTAACGTGTATTGTACATACACCTTAATTAAGAGAACTTGAGAGAATGGCCAAAATGTTTCTCAGAGCACAAGTCACACAGTATATTAGCTGTCATTATTCTCTAATTATTTTCTTATGAAAAATTTTTTAATACAAATAACATTTTTATATTTTCATTATTAATGTCTACTTTGTATTACATTAAAAGAAAATAATTAAAGAATAGAGTTTAGAAACTTCTGTGGTAGTTTTCCCAAACTGACACTTTCTTTGCACTTACAGTAGCTATTTATGCACAGACTTACTTGGAGGAGCAAGAAGGGTTCTAGCACTGTAGATAAAAGAATAGACAAAGTGCCTGGAAAAGTAAGGGGTGTTTAGTGTTCAGAGAGGAGCATGTTTAGTATGTTTGTAGTAAATGGAGGAAAGCGAGGTTGAAGTGTTCTAAACATTGGGTCTACCTAGGGAGCCCTAAGATTACTCCCTCTTTTTTTTTTTTTTACATATATTACATTTTATCCTTTGCAGTTCAGTGGATGTAGATAGATGTGTATAGTCAGCTCCTTCCTCCTACCCCAGCCCTGAAATCACCTGTTTTCTGCCCCTGTAACCTTATCTTTGGGATGTCAAGGAAAGGCAGTCATCCTCGTTCATGCTTTACACCCAGCTTCCTTCATACAGTGCTGCTTTTTAGATCCGTCCGTGAGGTTGGGTTTGCTCCTCTTTATTGCTCCTCAGCATACTGTTGACGAAGGTACCAGTTTTCTTTATTCCTTCACCATGGGTTGTTTCCTGTTTGGGCTATGCAGGTGGCTGTGAATATTCATATGTAATTCTGTGGACACTTGCTTTCATTTCTCTTAGGAGTGGCATAGCTAGATCCTATGGTATCTGTTTTTGTTTTTGTTTTTGTTTTTGTTTTTGTTTTTGTTTTTGTTTTTTTTTTTTTTTTTTTTTTTGCAGAACCAGGGATTGAACTCAGGCCCTTGCGCTTCCCAGAGAAGCACTGATTCCACTGAGCCATCTCCTCTGCCCGTTTAACTTTTAAGAAACTAGCAAAGTGTTTTCCAAAGTGAATATACCATCTTGCTTTTTCCTTACAGTTGTAGGAGAATTCTGGTTCTTCTATATCCTTGCTGGTCGTTCTTAAAAATTACAACCAGTCTAGGGGCTGTATAGGGATATCTCATTGTGTCAATTACAATTTTGATCTCTTTAATATCTCATGATATTGGGCCAGGGAGATGGCTCAGTGTAATAAGTGCTTCCCTGGCAAGTGCAAGAGCCTGAGTTCAATCCCCGGTTCCACAAAAGAAAAAAAACAACAAACAAACAACAACAACAACAAAAATGATATTGACATCCACCCCAACCCCAGGAATTGAACCTAGGGCCTTTACAATGAGCTATATTTCTTGCCCTTTTTTAGTTTTTGAGGCAGGGTCTCAGTAAGTTGCCCAGGCTTTCCTTGAACATTTTCCATATACTTATGGACCATTAATACATCTATGATGAGGTATATATTGGATTTCTTATTGGGTTATCTTACTGTTGCATGTGTTACAAATATTCTCTCCTACTCTGTGGCTTTGCATTTTCTTTACAATGTCTTTGAGACAGAAGAGTACAAGTTTTAAATTTTGATGAATCCAGCTTATCAATTTTTAATTTTTATGGTTTATACTTTTTGAATTCTGAGAAATTCTTATCTAATTTAAAAGCATAAAGATTTCCTCCTGTTTTGTTGGTGGTGGTGACTTTGTTTTTTTGTTTTTATTTTTTAAGACATGGTCTCACTGTAGTTCAGGCTGGCCATACACTCCTTTGTAGCCCAGACCAACCTTGAACCTGTGGTGAACTTCTGCCTTAGCCTCTCAGGGAGAAGTTTATAGTTCTACTCTGTGGTCTATTTCAAGTTAATCTTTGTGCATTGTATAAGGGCCTATTCCATTTTGTTAGGCATTTTTTCAAAAATCATACCGTGGCACCTTTGTTGAAAACAAATTGGCCTTACCTGGGTAGTCTATTTCTAGACTCTGTTCTGTTCCATGGATCTGTATCTTGGTGCCTATGCTGATACTATACTGTCCTGATAAATTTATAATTTTTAGAAATCAAGTAGTAGAAGTCTTCCAACTCTATAGTCTCTTCTCAAAACTACTAGCCTCGTTATTTGATATGATTATGGTTTATTTATGTTTGTTTTCACTCTTTTTTCCTTGAATGGATTTCTATTTTCCTAGGAAATTATCTGAACTATTAGATTTTCAAAATCTATCAGAAGACTAGATATACTGGTCCTTTAATGCTATTAAAATCTCCTATCACAGATTATTTAGAAAAGCTTTGTAGAGGTTCTAAATGACCAGTGCTCCTTTCAGTAGACAGTTTCTAGTTTTATTATGTGATAGTCTGGGTAGTCTGTCTTGTTGCTCTTTCTTTCCTCTTTTTAAAAAAAAATTTATTTATTTATTTTTAGTGTATTTAATACAGGGTCTACATGGCTTCATTACACAAATCGGACTTGTAGTGATCCTTCTGTTTTTAGCCTCACAAGGAAAAGGCATGTGCCATCATGACCAGTGAGGCAATATATAAGATCCATTTCTTAGGGTGCTGGGGAGATAGCGCAGTAGAGTAAGTGCTTGCCTGGCAGGCATAGGGTCTGAGTTCAATCCCTGGTTCCTAAAAAAAATAAAAAAATAAAAAAGATCCATTTCTGTAGCAATAGACACCCAGCAGGGCACTGTATGCTAGTATTTTATTTTAATGCTCTTATCTTCTATGGTCTTACTTACTTTCATTTTTTTTCTTTTTATTTTCAGGGCAAGTTTATTCGGATCAACTTTGATGTAACTGGCTATATTGTTGGGGCCAACATTGAAACATGTATCCTTTTTCATAATTTCATCTCCAAACAGATGGGGGTGGATGGCGTGGTCTTCTTGTAGCCTCACAGCAACCTTTGGTGGTGTCACTCCTATTATCCAAATGGTACAATTTACACCCACAGGCATAGGCAAATGCCTTCAGGTGCTGAATATTAACTCCAACATGATGTAGCTATATTCTATTGTTTTTAAAACTGGGTCATATCATATGAGCCTGGAGAGATAGGGAGTCCCACAGTCTTCGGGTTTAGTACATTTAGATGAATGTTACCCACAACTATTCTTCAGCTGTGGTCCCTGAGACAGAGTAGCCAACACCCACAACTCAACAGAGGAGAGAGCTCTCATGGTAGAGCTTTCGGCACGGCAGAGGAGAAACAGTTCATGGCAGGGCAGCAGGAAGCAGAGCAATCAAGGGGAGAGGGTGAGACAGACCCTTCCGTCTAGCCCACACTCCCAGTTACCCACACTTCACCTCCCAGCATCCCATGCAGCTATGAGCTCAGCAGTGGACTGATCCCTTAGTGAGTATCACACTTCTGTGTTCAATCACCTCCCCAAAACCGCACCTATGAGCTTTTAGGGGACATCTAGACATAAACTGTAACAGCTACCACTGTGTTCATCCATGTTTGCCATCTGCTTCTGATGTTAGGTTAAACATGTACTCAGTAAAGGAAGTCTCAACAATTATAGTTAAGGCTGGGCATAGTGATGCATTGCTGTAATCCCAGCACTCAGGAAATTTAGGCAGAAGGATCCTTGCGTGTATGAGACCAGCCTGGGCTGCAAAGTTAAGGCCAGCCTGACCTGCATAGCAAGACCCTGGTCTCAAAAGAAAAAAAAAAAAAAAAGTTAGTAATTTCAGTTAGTACTAAGTAGAAGTTACAGGAAAAAAAATGCTAAGTTGCTAGAAAAGTCCTAAGAAATTTCACATGCATAAATTGACTTTAAGAAATAACAAGTCCATATTTTAAAAATTTGATTGGAGGTGTAGTAAAACTGAAGGATTCTGCTTCAATAGTGTCTCATTTACAAAGCACACAAGTGATAGCGCTCTGATGTGTACTCTCCAGTGATAAGATGCATTTGAATCACTTAGGTAAGGGAAATACTGAAATTTTTTAATTTGGGGTACTATTTTATGACTGTAAATATTTTAAAAGCTGGAGGTTAGGGACAGAAACACTTGAAAATAACAGGGCAATGAATCTACAGTTTTAAGTTTCTTCATAAAAGTCTGCTATAGGGCTGGGGAGATAGCTCAGCGATCTAAGCACTAGTCTGGCAAGCGCAAGGACTCAGGTTCAGTCTCTGGCACCACATGCCATGCTGGCTGCAGAACCCAGGGATTACACCTGTAATCCCAGCACTGGGGAGGCTGACACAGGAGTGTCATTACGAGTCCCATCTGGGTAGCAAGAACCTGCACCAAATACATAAATAATATTTTAAAAATAAATAAGTAAATAAAATTAAAATCTGTTATAGCATCACTCATATGAATGTATTTTGCCCTACATATGGAGGATGTGCACAGGATAGTCTTGACTTAAAATTGAGGCTGTCTGTCATGTACAGAATTAATTCCTTTGATGGCCTCCAAGAATGCTTGCCTCAAATTTGCAGAGCAGTGAAACTGATGAAGAAGCCAGTGTGCCTATCAGCCCTTATCCACTCTGGGGCATCCAGAGCATCTCCGAGTGAGCCTGGAATACACACACGGAGGGGTGTACACTGATCTGAAGTCCAGCTGCTGTCTGCTCTGAGCCACTGTCCCCAGGTAGTCCCTGGGACATCCAGGTGGGGGTGTGGCAGCAGGCTGTAGGCACTGACCTCAGCGGTCCTGCAGCACAGCGAAGAGAAGGCCAGTGGTCGTTCTGACCACACCTTTCATGTCACCATAGCTACGTCAGCATTCAGGGGAGGAGTCTAAGGTGCTAAATGTGGAGAAATGAACTCAAGGCTTTCGGTAAGGGGCTGTCACGGTTGCAGAGGAATCAGGCTCATGCATTGGGAGTCACAGCAGGGCTTTTCGTCCCTTGCTCTCCCACTCAGTAGCTGTGTTCTTTTGACTAATTTCTTTGTGCTTTGGTTTCCTTCTTTGTAAAATTGTGTTAATTTGGGTATTATAGGGCTTCTCTTGCGTTAAGCATCTGTATTTCTTTAATAGCGTTGTACAGTTCCTTGTATAGTACTGTGTTCTTCAGATATCACCCAAAGCAGGGGTTGAATAGGTTGGTCCCCCCCAGCCAGTGATTACAGCTTAGTGAGAAACATAAATTGTATATATTTGGTTTTTTCACATACAAAAGACAGTTCTAAAGATTGGTTCATTATAACATAATTGATAGGTGTAGTGGCACACACCTGTAATCCCAGCCCTCGGGAGGCTGAAGATTGGTGACAGGTTGTTACATGTGCAAGGCCAGCCTGGAATACACAGTGAAACTGTCTCAAAAAGTATAAAAAATAAAATAAAAAAATAAGAAAAAAGAAAAATATATATACAGAGAGAACATTTTCAAGTTAAATTTGTATAGACATCGTAAAAGGGCATCCTTATTAATAACTTAATCCTTAACCATTTGCTCAGACCTTCTAGAAAAATCTCGGGCTGTTCGTCAAGCAAAAGATGAACGTACTTTTCATATCTTTTACCAGTTGCTATCTGGAGCAGGAGAACACCTGAAATGTAAGTGACAGGGGCATTTAGTATTTATGTTCCATTGAATCTGTTAATATTGAAATTTTTTTTATGAGCAGAATATATTTATTGAGAGAAAGAAAGCTCCTGTCCAAGAGAGGGACAGGAGGGGGGCCCGAGGAGGTAGTTCCCCCAATATTGAAATTTTTATACATATTCTCCAAATCTCTAGCTGTTTAAATCATGAAAATGAAATTGAATTTCCATGCCATGAAGTATCTTGTCTTAAGTGACAGGTTGCTATATATCTTTTATACTTTTCTTTCTTTAAAAACATTTAAAGTAGAAGACAAGTGATATATTTTTTGTATGATCCTGCTTCAACATTTATAAATGGAAAAGAAAAAAATAATATAGAGGAATAAGTTTTTATTCCCAATTTATAGCCAAATACATACGTTTCCACTGGTGCTAGAAAGAGCCAGCAGTGGTGGCTGGCTGGCTGGCTGGCTGACTGGATGGATGGATGGATGGATGGATGGATGGATGGATGGATGGATGGATGGACGGACGGATGGACGGACAGATGGATGATGGATGGATGGGTGGTGGGTGGATGGATGGATGAATGGATGTCTCTATTATGAATCACAGAGACTAGAAGCTTGGATTAAGGAGGGTAAAAGGCAGAATTGTGGAGCTGAAAACTTTGCTGAGTCAGAAATATATGAGGAAAGAAAGGTGTACAACTTTCCATTCTCTTCTGAGTCTTAAAGTTGGTGTTGTTTCTGTTTGCTTCTTATGTGGGTTATGTAGGTAGAATAGTAAATACATCATACAATAAATAAAGATTTTTGTCATCTGAAGTCTGGGCTTTGGCCAACTACCGGCATCTGAAGGCACTGAACCCTGAAATTAATTAGAGAAAGACTTTCAAGGGGAAAAATGGCAGCAAGCAAACTTATTTGGAGAGGCTTAAAATTCAAGATCATCATAGTGTGAAAGGCATAAAAGCCTCAGGATAGCAGGCAAGCAGTAACTGCAATAGGGAGGAATTAGAAAGGGTGATGAGAGTTGAGGACAGGAAAACAAAGCAAATCATACTTAATAGAAGCTAAACCTGATATAGTTAAGAATTAGGGGACAGAGTTGAGCATGGAATTGCATACCTGTAATCCCAGCATTCTTGGGAAGCTGAGGCAGAAGGATTTCAAGTTCAAGCCCACCCTAGCAACCTAGCAACTTGGTGAGACCCTGTCTCAAAATTTTAAAGAGGGCTGGGGATGTAGTTCAGTGTAGAGATTCTGGGTTCAATCCTCTGTTCAACCTCCAAAAATAGAATCAGAGTGATCTGTAGAAATATTCTGTGGAAGACGCTCCAGTGGCACAATCGATTAGCACGTGGTACTTATAGAAATATTCTGCAGAACTAGTGAGCCAGCTCCAATGAAAGCTGGGAGCACATTTGTGTATCTATTAGAGAAAAATAGCCCTGTCTACTTTAATCGCTCTTGTGGAGCATCCTTGTGCTTCCTTTCCTACACTTGTCAAAAGAGACCATTCTTACGTGGCGGCCTCTCCTATGCCAGCAGTTCCTGGTAGGATCTACTGTGAAGTCTGTCTTAACTTAACCTGTTCCTTATCATGCTAAAAACTAGGAGAACACCAAACCAACTGACTTGGAAGGCAGGGCAGGGTCTTTCTCAACCTAGAAAGAGTGCTCAGCACACACAGCTCCCTGCATTTCACACACATAATCACGATTTAAACAAACTGGCTAGAGTTGGATTTGGCCCACACCCTAACATAATGTGTATGTAAACCACTTGATAGGAATATAGAACGAGTCCCAAAAGCTCGCCTTCAAAAGTTCCCTAAAATATTTAAATCTGAAAACAATAAAGTTATCTGGAAAAATCCCATCATTTTCTGACTGTTGAATTTAAAATATAATGTTGTACAAACTACTGTCCTAAGAACTCCTTTTAAGATTTTTACATTTTTCACATCATTCTTCATAGGAAATTGTGTTTGTTTGTATATGTACATGAATATATATAAAGGAAAAAGTGGGAGTGAACACCTATTGTTCTGAGATGTTAGTGGGGGTGCTTTAGTGTGTTTATGAATATTTACTAAATCTTACCAAATTGTGTTTCCTTTTAGCTGACTTACTCCTTGAGGGATTTAGTAACTACAGATTCCTGTCGAATGGCTATATTCCTATTCCGGGCCAGCAAGACAAGGACAACTTCCAGGAGACCATGGAAGCGATGCACATAATGGGCTTCTCTCACGAAGAGATTCTGTGTATGTGTGACTTCCCTGAGATTCTCATCCTCACTTTGATAAACCTTGTACATTTGGTATAAGTAATCCAAACTAGAACCTGATTGGGAAACTAATTGGAACTCTCTGTACTTTTATGAAATACTGAAGACAACATATCTTATGGAAAAGTTATAGGAAGCTAAGTTTTCTCTACTGCATTTTGATCAAATATTTTTGTTCATTTTTTTTCTTTTCATCAACATGAAGCCATGCTTAAAGTAGTATCGTCGGTGCTACAGTTTGGAAATATTTCTTTCAAAAAGGAGAGAAATACTGATCAAGCTTCCATGCCAGAAAATACAGGTAAAATGATAAATACTGATTTTATTTCTATTTTGAAGGCTTCTTGTGCTCTCTAATGAACATGGCCGTGCAAGCGTTTCCCCAGGGACTCTTGTAGAGTGGCCAACTGCTGTGCCGGTGAGGCCCCGCCTGATTCCCAGCCATGGGAGGAGAGGCAGGTGGCAGGCTTCTCTGCCTTTGTGCAGGGGAGGCGTTGGGAGAAGAGGGGAGAGGACCTCAGGCAGCCCACACAGACTGCCTGGGCAGGAGCTCCCTGGGGCACAGTGCCAGTGTTGCCAGATACACAGCTGGATCCAGCTGAGGGTGGTTTGACTTAAAAACCTTTGGACTGTCTGGTGGTACCAAAGCACACCGATGCAATACAGGTTTCTCTTTCAATGTAATGTTGAATAAACTGTATGAGTTACTCAACACTTGATTGTAAGATGGTCTTTGTGTTAGGTGACTTTGCCCAGCTAAGTGAGTAGGCCAATGTGAGTGCTTGAAGCAGGTCGAGGACAGGCAGGGCTAAGCTGTCAGCTCCAGTGTGTTAGAAGTACTTAATGTGTTTTGATATAGAGTATTTTTCAGTTTACAGGGGGCTTATTGGGACATGATACCATCATAAATTGAGGAGCAACTGTAGTTGCTTTTGCAGAGAGAAATACAGATCTTAATATGAGATCTTCTGGTTTTTGAATGTTGAAAATATTTAAGTTTAGACTGTTCTGGAGGAAAAGTATGTGGAATTAAAAAAATTATAAGCCATGGGAATTACCACAGTGCCTCTTAGCATCTGAGAACAAAAAGAAAAGTGAGGAATTACAGTATTACTAGAAAATGCTTGATTATCTGAACAAGTTTCCTTGCTTTCTAGGGGCTTCCATACTCCACTGTGGCCATGAGGGCTAACAAAGGCACACCTCTGCCCTTGGAGTAATCCTTTTCTGTAACCTACCTGGGGCTTGGTAGCAGCTTGATTCTAGATGATTCTTTCAAGGGACCTGCCTGTCCCCTGCTTCAGTCATCATTTTCTGATTCAAACGTAGTATCTGTCTTTGAGTCGGTGAAGCTAGATTGGCACGTGGGCCTGCATCCCCACGGTGGCTTTCGCATGGTTAAGTCAGACTGGAATGGAATACTGTAAGATTTAGATAAGGCATGCACTACTGTAGTTTGGCTCTGAAACCTTCAAGTGATCCCTAGCGAGAAGAGGACCAGGTCGCTGTACTAAAGGAGGCTAGACGCTCCCTCCCCATCTCTCAGCCTACAATGGGCATGTTAGTAATCTGGAGGTGGAGGGGGTGGTTTTCATCAGCCCCAAAATTCAGGGCTTTTATCCCTTCTTAGTACAGTGTGCAAATTGCTAGGGTTATTCAAGTGTTAACTGAATGTTGTGATGAGATCGCGAGTAGCAGCGGAGGACTTAGGGGGCTTTCCACTTCAGTCGCGCAGAAGCTCTGCCACCTGCTTGGGATGAACGTGATGGAGTTCACTCGGGCCATCCTCACCCCCCGGATCAAGGTCGGCCGGGACTATGTGCAGAAAGCCCAGACGAAAGAACAGGTAAGCTCGGGGCTAATTGTCACTACGGGTTTATTTGAATAAGCTAATGTCTTTTGATCTGCTTGACATGTAACAAACTAAATCAGTGACATTCTTATTACATGGGTGTTTCCTGCCACCAAATGAGTATTTTTTAAAAATATATTTACATTACTTTTCCCAAGAATTTTTTAAAATTTTTATTTGAAACACTTCTGCTTATCTCAGGTAGACAAATTAATAGACAAACCAGCAGAGTGGTAGCCACCTGGCCTCTGTGCTGGAAAGCACAGCATCAAGAACAGGGTCGCTGGGTGTGGTAGCACGTGCCTGTAATCCCAGCAGTTGGGAAGCTGAGGCAGAAGGATCACTGAAAGTCTGGGGACAGCCTGGGCTGTCACAAAGTGACTTCAAGGCCAACTTCGACTGCATAGTGAAACCCTGTCCCAAAAAAGATGAAAAGAGCACAGCATAATCATGACCTCTTAGCTGCAGGCTGTTTTAAGGAAGACATTCATGGCTTTGGCCAGGAATGTTGGAAGAGCACTGTTGATAGCAAAGTGCAGTTTAGCCAGCTGATGAGAGTGTGCTAACGAGGAGGATAGACCCTGTCAGAACTCCATGGGTACTGGGGAGGGGCAAGAGGAGAGTCTTCCTGGGTTTGCTCATCCCCTGAATTGGCCATTCCCAGTTTTTATTTTATTGGGCTAATAATGCCATCTAGATGTGTAAAAGAAATCGAGACCTGTCTAAGCATTAAGTACCATTTCAGGTTTTTTGAGTACTATATAACAGCAAACCATGCATAACAGCTGTTCATGCTTTGTTCAGATTGTTTCTAAAGTAAAAGGTTTATGTATCTAATTACAGGCAGATTTTGCAGTAGAAGCATTGGCAAAAGCTACCTATGAGCGGCTCTTTCGCTGGCTTGTTCACCGGATCAATAAGGCTCTGGATAGAACCAAACGTCAGGGAGCATCTTTCATTGGAATCCTGGATATTGCTGGATTTGAAATTTTTGAGGTATTCCTTCTACTGTCCTTTTTCCTGCTCTTTCTGTTTCTTCTTTTGACAAACATGGAAGTTCATTATATACCAGATCCAGGGCCAGTTACAGGGATATGAGACGAGCAAGCAGGTGTGGTCCCTGCCATTCTAGTACAGAGTCAGACACTGAAAGGCAAAACCCAGAGTTCATGAATTTATGGATAGTACAATGAAAGTTGCTGTTATCGAGACAACTAGGAAGGCCGTGCCTGGGTAGGGAGGCATCTACTGCAGTGATAGTCGGGAATTCTTGAAGGATGAGAAAGGATTTAATGGCAGATTACATCACTGATCTGACCAGATTTGTCCAAATACCTAGTCAAGGTCAAACATGGCAAAGGTCAACATACCTGCTGTGGAGTTGCAGAGAAATTGATAAAATTTTTATCTCCTAAAAATATAAATACAGATATAGATAGAAGTTATATGTATTAGGCCTAGATATCAAATACTTCTGGTGATTAATGTTTTGCTTTAGCCACTTGAGTATTGAGTTGCCACATTTTAAAACAAACCCTTCAACATGCTAGGCCTTATAGTAAAAACTGATCTGGTAAGAACTGGGATAAGTTGTATCTACTGAGCTTGCCAGTCCTGCTAAGAGTTTGTTTTAATGTTTACTATTTGTAAATAACTTGAGAAATCTTGAAAGGTGTCTAGGTACAACCAAAGATTCAGTGAAGAGACCCCCACATCCAACTGCAACAAAAACAGTTGGAATATTAAAAATAATTTTAAGCCAGGAGTGGTAGCCACATGCCGCGAATCCAAACACTCCAGGCTCAGACAGGAGAATTGTTGTGAGTTCAAGGTCAGCCTGTGCTACATAGTCAGTTCAAGGCAGTCTGAACTACCTAGTGAGAGTGTTTCCCCACCCTCACCCCCCTAAATATAATAATAAAGAAAGGATAACAACCAGGGAGATAGCTCAGTGGCATAAGCCCCTGAGTTCGATCCCCAATACCCTCCTCCCCCTCAAAAAAAGAAGAAGAAGAAACGGGCAAATAAATTTAGGGAGGATCACAGCCTGGGCAACTTAGTGATTTAGCAAGACCCTGTCTACAAATTTAGAAAGTGTGGTGGTGTAGCTTGCAGTGAAGCCTGCATTCAGTCTCCAGTACCACAAAATAAGAAGAAAGGGGTAACATTAGATGGCATTACAGTGCTACTACAAAGAACAGTGAAGAGATTGCCCTGTCCTTGATGAAAGAATTAGCATCATAAAGGTAAAAACCTTCAAAGTATCTATCTATAAATTGAACATAGCTGTTTAAAACTTAATAGGAATTTTAAGCAGTAGAAGGAACTAAGCAACCTTGTTATAAGTTTAACTTAAAAAATAATTTAAAAAAGAATAAACGATAAAATAGTGGAAAGGAATATTTAAAAATAAAATACCTTAAAAGAAATACAGGGGCCAGGGAGATAGTTCAGTGGAATAAGTGCTTCCCTGGCAAGTGCAAGGGCCTGAGTTCAATCCCTGGTTCTGCCAAAAAAAAAAAGAAAGAAAGAAAGAAAGAAAGAAAGAAAGAAAGAAAGAAAGAAAGAAAGAAAGACAATTTTACTAAGAATATATAGACAAATGGATGTAAATTTGAAAAGTACACATTTATTTGTCATGAGGAAGGACAGCCTTAATTAATTTCCACCACTCAGAGGCTGGTTCCTGTTAGCTCATGTATGTATACAGTAAATGTTACTGAGCCATGTAAAGAATGAAGGGGCTGTGTATGCTCATATGGAAAGACTCCAAAAGCTGGGTGTGGTAGTGCACGCCTGTAATCCATGCACTTGGGAGGCTGAGGCAAGAGGATCATTGCATATTGGGTTTGCAAGACCAGCTTGGGCTACAGAGTGAGCTCAAGGCCAGGCTGAACTACACAGTGAGACTCTGTCTCAAAAAGACCCCCCCCCCTTGGTGGGGAAATAGCTCAGAGGTATAAGTGCCTGCCTGGCAAGCATAAGGTCCTGAGTTTGATCCCTGGTACAAAAAGAAAAATCACTGGGGGCCTGCCCATTAGCTCAGTTGTTTAAGTGCCTGTTTAAACAAACAGTCAGGCTCAGGTGCTGTGGTTCGAACCCAGACACTCATGCCAAACCAGAAATGCCCTGAAGGTATCTTGAGGCCACCAAAAATAAATAAATAAAAAAAATAAAAAGACTCCCCCCCAAAAAAAAAAAAAATCTTAACATATCCAAGATATGTTAAGGTTTTTAAAATCAAGATTCTTGGCTGGCAAGATAGCTCAGTGGTCTAAAGCACCTGCTTAGGCAATCTTAGGCAGGCGCAGCAGACCTAAGTTCAATTCCCAGCACCATGTGCTGCACCAGCCCCGTCCTCAGGGCAGGCCTGACCCAGCCTAAAATAAATAAATAAAACCAAGGTTCTGCATACATTTGAGAAAGCACAGATTGGTATCTCCAGAAGAATTCAAGAACTGGGTAATACATAAGAAGAACAAGTAGGGAATTGAACTGAAACTGGCTTTTCAGTATAGCTGTTAGCACATTTTAAATCTTATACTATGTACTATCAATTTTAAAATCAGTTTCTTTGGGCTGGGGCTGTGAGGCTCTGGGTTTGATCCAGCAACACAAAAAAGTAATTATTTACAGTTGGAATTGGTGGCATAAGTGGAAGAAAATAGAAAATCATTTTTTAAAAAAATATTCGTTGCATATAGCTCAAACTAAATAAAGCAATAAAACATTATAATCCTAAAGAGAGCTAAGTCCATTTATCTAAACATGGGAAGGCACAGTCGGGCATTCTCTAAGTGTTTCCGGACTTGTCTTAGGTGCTAGTTGGGAAACAGTGTTGAGCGAGGCGCACACTGGCTCTGCCCGCCCAGCATGACCTCATTCTAAAATAGTGAGTTCAAAAGCTCTGTGGGGTGTGGAAGATTGGAGCGGCTTTTTCAGGCCATAAATCTATCCCTTGGAGATAGATTGAATCCTCTCTAATTGAAAGTCGCTTTCTATAATGAAAAAGGTTATTTATGGTGCATCCTATTCATGTGAACCATGCGGAAGCAGCAGGAAGGTTGTGCACTTGTAGAAGATAGGATGTTGCTTTAAGAAAATTACACCTATTAATTCATCCTTCTATCAGTTCATCTGTTCAATAACACAGTAGAAAATGGGACAGAGTTCACATAGGAAGAGGTGGCTGTGTGAGAAGATGCTCAGATCCACTGAATGAGAGCAGGGCAGTTTCACCTTCGATAATGGCCAGGCTCAGACACTTGATGGGAAGAACCTGGGTAGAAGAGCAAGCGGGCGCCTCGCCTAGCGAGACCTGTGTCAGGCAGGCTGAGCTCCCTGCTACAGCCTTGTAGGGAAAAGCTGATTTTTCAGTTGATTCTTTTCTTCTCTCATGTGGAGTCACGTCCCCCGCATCCTCCCATGAGGAGAGGGGCAGAACCAGTGGCACAGCTCACACGCATGCCCACCTTCCTGTGCCTTGGGTGCCCTCAAGTCTCTTTGGTTTTCTTCCATATTATTCTCTCTTTACATTTTCAGAAAGGGCTGCCAGGGAGGTGAGTGACAGGTGGGGAGACCCCTTCCTTGGCATCATCCTTAGGTACATATAGTAATGTTGACACCTAATGAGTGATTTTCCCTGAATGTTTGAGGTAATTAGCTGGCTAATTCTTCCTCTCCTCCCCCTCCACCCATATGTGGACAATGATTCCTTCAACTCACATAGCTCAATTCTTTTGAGCAACTGTGCATCAACTACACCAATGAGAAGCTGCAGCAGCTGTTCAACCACACCATGTTTGTGCTGGAGCAGGAGGAGTACCAGCGTGAGGGCATCGAGTGGAACTTCATCGACTTCGGCCTCGACCTGCAGCCCTGCATCGACCTCATAGAGAGGCCCGTGAGTTCTTTGCACTGTGTTACAGCAGGCAGAAACACTGAAAGACACCCAGGATTTATTTGGAGGCAGATTTATTTAATGTCGGATGGGCATTTTAATGTCGGATGGGGAATTAGTTGTCCCTCAAAATATCAGGCCTGATCTCCGGTGGTCTAGGATTTGTATGGGATCAGCAAGCAAGAAGCACAGAGGCAGAATGGCTCAGCAACTGGGGATTTATTTATATAATGTGCATCACAGAGACCAGCCATTTCTAAGAGATGGAAGCAACTGGAGTAGGAACTGTTACCTGGGCAACTCATAAACAAGGATACTGGTGGGGGCGGGGAAGCAGGGCATGCTCTGTTAGCGTCACTTGCTGCTTCCCTGTTCTCGGCATACTCAGAATTATGATCATCAGTCTAAGCAGCATTAGAGTAAGTTTCTAACCTTAACTGTTCAGCTCTGGTGTAGTTCAGTGGGAGAGCTCATGCCCAGCATAGGCAAGGCCCTGGGTTTGATTCCCCAACACCACAAAACTATAAAGTAATAACTAAATAAATATATTTTCTAGGGAGGTTATAGTTTGATAGAAGAAACTTGTTTAAAGTATCGCCCTGGTAGAGCCTGCTTGAGCCCTGCTTTCATCAGCTTTGTTCCTACCCTGGCTTGCGCAGCTACGTCAGTTGCTGTGCTGTGGTCCTTGAAGACTGCAGAGGCTGCTGTGGCGCTGGCAGCCTTGATGTACTCCTGGCCCAGGGTGTTGGCGTGTCACCTGCCACCCCCTGTCCATCTGCATTGCCACTGTCCTACACAATAGAGGAACACTTAGTTAGCTAAAGACAAGATGTGTCATGTAAATGCATTTTTTGCATAACTAAAATTTGCACTTGTGAGTATAATGATGTTTTTATTTTGGGAGATTTTTAAAATTGAAGTCTTAGGTGTTTTGGGGATGAAGTGGAGATGGGTGTTCTTGGGGCAGATATATTTTAATGGCAGTTTTAGAGAGCATCACATCATTTTCTTGTTGATTTACTGTCATGTAAATACACAGAAGTATGCATAATTCATTCGTTTTTGAAACTTCTGTTCGTGTGATCTTGAACAGGTGTATGTGTGTGTTTGCACACATATGTGGTACTGGGGTTGAACCTAGGGCCTCACACATGCCTACTCATAATCTGTATAAAGTTCTGATGCTGATTAGGTAGGTGTGCTGCAACAGTAGCTCTGAGGGCTGTCCCAAGAGGCACAGCAGGCTGTGAGGCTGCTCTTTGTGTCGCTGTTCATCTCTGGTTGCTGCCTGTGTTCAAGGTATTTGAAGGTGGTGGAGGTCCAGTGTGTAGGGTCCTGGATGGCATGGTACCTGTAGTGAGCAGGAATTGGAGGCGGGTAGTGAAGAAGAGGAACTCAGCAGACCTTCACTCCAGTTAAGATGTAGTTCTGCCACATTACAAACTTGTGTTTGAAGAACAGAACAGACAAGTTTCATTTGAGTCATCTGTAAGAAAAAGGCACCATGGCTGTGGTGGTCAGCTTCCTATTGCTGTGACAAAGTATCTGGCATTGCCATTTATGGGCAAGAGTTCCTGTTGGCTTGTGGCTTCACAGGTGTTAGTCCATAGTCACCTGGCTTCAAGGCAAGAACACCAAGGCAGAAGAGCATAGGTGAGGAAGGTTGCTCACCTCACAGCTCCGAGGAAGTAGAATGCAGGAGAAGAGCCCCAGAAGAAGGGCCAGACAGAGTTAACCCCCGAGGTCCGACCACCTAAACACACCGAGAAATGGCTTCCCTCGTCTCCGAGGCATTTCAAGCCAGTCAAGTCAGTAGTCGGGATTAACCACCTCAGCAGCTGTCAGGGCACTGTAGCTGTGTTTAAAGCAGAATTCAAATTGCCTGTGCTGTGGAAATAGCTACTTCCGTTTTTCTTGTCACATTCTTTAGAGGTGACATACACAGCAGACTTCTAGTGCCTTCCGGTCAGCTTCCATCCATACACAGCACGTGAATATATTTCATTGCTGCTTTGTTGACCAAAAATTAAGTAGATAAAGTGATGGGCCTTTCCCATTGTTACCATCGTGACCGTATGATCTGTGACTCGGGTGCTCCTTGCCTGTGTCTGCGGAGCACTGGAGGGCCTGCCTTTGCAGTTTAGGAGCCGTGTGCCTGTGCTTGGGGGTACTCTACTTGGGGTGGAGGAGAACACATAAGTTTGCTAGGTGGTTCTACCAAAGCAAAAGTGCCAACCCTATTTTTTTTTTATAGTGTTGGAGGATTTTAAAACATAATTGTTTTGTGATCCTTAAGTGAGTTCTACAAATGTACAATCTTAATGTTTCTCAGTTGCCTTCCTTTTGCTTTATATTCTAAGACAAAACCGTTTTGTACTATTTTTCATGTTTTCAAATTTTTACATAATTTTACTCTAAAAGTCAGAGTGATGTTCAGCATTCATGATTGACTCATAATAGGCAAGTCAGGAAGGTTTTTATGTTCATGTTTTCAGTTATTTTGCAGGCATATTAAGTGCAGATATTGTTGGGTTAGGATAATATTGAGAACTGGTGAGAATTTATTAAATTCCTGATGGTGTTCTGAGAATGCAAGTGCAGGGTCGAGGCCACTGTGGAAGCATAGGTGGAGTCACCCTGGTCCTCAAAGATGTGGTCTCAAAGCCAGAGAACAAAGAATGTAAGGGTAGCTCATTAGTGTAAGTGTCAGACTGAGAATCCACAAAAGCCAAAGGCTGAAGGTGGCATAGAAAGTTTCGTGGATGTGGATGTTAGGAAGGAAGAAAGGAATGGAGGGACGGAGGGAGGGAAGGAAAGAGGGAGGGAGAGATGGAGGGCTGACTTGAGGGCTGAATTTTATGGGCAGAAGTTAACAGGTGAACAGCACTTTGAAAGTGGTAGTTGTCACTTGGTGGGATTATTCACAAAGTACAAGTGGGGAGAATATGGCATTCATGGTAACTGACTCTGCTGAAACAAGGGGATGAACTTCGTCAGCTGAATCCTTCTTCCCCTCCCCACTCCCTGTCTCCCTCTGTTCTCTCTTCCTTCCTCCCTTCACTCTCCTTCCTATACTCTTTGTATTAACACCTAGCCTCTTTCTAAAACTCTTATCTTGCCCTGAGCTATCTTCATTTAAAGGAGAGACAGCTCAGCATGGGAATAGGAGTTTCGGATTTAATTCTAATTCATTGTTCACCTCAACTTTAGAATTATTCCATTTATTCATAGAGAAATGAGATCTGATCTAGGGAAAAGTGTGAAGTGCATAAAAGTGTTTATTGGTAATGAGGTGGAGTGGTGTTAGTTCATAGTTCCATAGTTCCAGTGAAGTTCCTTTCCAGTAAGGGCTTTTTTTTTTGGTACTGGTGATCACACTCAGGATGTAGCACTTCCCAAACAGGCACTTAAGCCAATGAATTATCTCCCCAGCCACTTTGAATGTTCCTTTCAAAATGGAGAGGAAAGATGGGTGGCACCTGCCTGCCCTGTGCCAATGTCACCTCATCCCTCATGAAACAAAGCCAGGCCTTCCCTGGTATGGGGTGGTGGCTGACAAAACTGTGAGCCTCTGGGCCCCACAGGCCTGGCCCTTCTACAGAAGTGTAGGCTCCTAACCTTCCAGTTCTGTAGACATACTCAGCTAAAAGAAGCAGTGAGAGATCTTGACACTGACAGCCAAAGTAGAAATGAGACTCAGTAATGAATATTCCTTATCATGCTGCCACTGAGTTATTTAGCAAAAATTAAGTCACATTTGGAATTCTGTGGAATTTGGGACGATTTTCATTAAAATGGATTAGAAATGTAAAAATTCTGGTAAAAAGGATGAATGTTTGGTTATCATACTATTAATATGGAACTTGGTTGCTTCAAGCTGTCAGGGGACCAGGATGGGTTGAGTTAGCTGTCACTCTGAGCCCTGGCTCCTCTGGGGTACCTAATTCTGGGTACCTCTGATCAGTGTCTTGTTTCAGCTGATTTGAAGCCCAGCAAGTCATTTCAGCTCGAGGAGCGATGGGGTAAGGATCTGGACCGCAGAAAAGTTCTCTCAGCTTCTGCCCACTGCTGTTCACCCTTCTCTGTCGTATTTCCGACAGTTTATCATTTGTATATGAATAACTAGCTCTTCACTCAGTGTTAAAGGGACACTGATTTTGGCCAGGTTCACTGCATACACCTGTAATCCCAGTCACTCAAGAGACTGAGGCCAACCCGGGCAATTTAGTAAGGTTCTGTCTAAAAAAAAATGTTTTTTTAATGGAAAGCTGGGAATCCAGCTAGGCACTCAGTGGGTCCAGTTTAATAGAAAAAAAGACTGATTTTTATGGACCTGCCTAAAACTTGGTACAATTTTAGTCTGGTAACATACACTTAATATTTGTAGTACAGCAATTAGTGATGACCCTGAAGCATGACTAAAGTAGACCATTTCTATATAAATATTTTATTTAGTTTTCATGTGTTATTTGCCTCCAAAAAGAAATCATTCCAGGGAATGGCAAGCTCAGGGCTTTTTAATTTTTTAACTGAGACAAATTTACATAATGGCCATCGTTTAAGGCTGTAATGTAAATGGCTTTTAGTATATTCACAGTCGTGCATCACCCATCAGCACTCTAATTCTAGGAGAGTTTCATCCGCCTCCCGCCTCCAAAAACCCCTCATACCCTTTAGCAGCCACTCTCCACGTCCCTCCCCCCAATCCTGGATTCATCAAGACCCTTTCTCAGTGAACTTACAATTGAGAGACATAAAGTAGGCTCTCAAAACATTTGTTAAAATAAATATATAGAACAACTAATAAATTATTTCATCACTCTCCATATGCTCTACTTGATACTATTTTAAAATATCAAATGCACAATTTATTTAGTCATCATTTAAAACTTAAATCACTTTGTCCAGGTTTTATAGTAATTTATCCAGCCAGTTATTAAACGGTAGCACTCACTGCATCTCTCCAGCCCCACACAACCTGTTCCTGCCTGACGTTTTTTACTTGTAGTACTGGGGGTCATTTACTTGAAATTAGATCACTTATAATTTACATATTTATCTAGCAGTGTGTTAGGTAAGTTCCTCATCGGCTTTCTAGCCTCTTGTCAGAAGCATGAGATCTCAGTAGTTGACTCACAGTTTTGGATGTTGCTTTCTGTCCTAGTCATATATGTTCTATAGATTATTACACCCTAATTGCTTTGGAAGCTCACCTGGCCAGCCTTGTGGCATCAGTGACATGCAGTTCTTCTTGCCTCTCCTGACCAGGCTAACCCTCCTGGTGTCCTGGCCCTTCTGGATGAAGAGTGCTGGTTCCCTAAAGCCACAGATAAAACTTTTGTTGAAAAACTGGTTCAAGAGCAAGGTTCCCACTCCAAGTTTCAGAAACCTCGACAATTGAAAGACAAAGCTGACTTTTGCATCATACATTATGCAGGGAAGGTAAGCATTCTTACACTGAGTAACTCACTGAAATCAACATGTTTATAATTTTGGCATGTCTTATAAAGGTATAACAAAAGTGCTTAAAAACATTTATAAACACATTACAAATGCTTTGCATTTAAGATGGTCTTTTTTTTTTTTTGGATTGTTCTATGAAGATTTTGGTTGAATCCTAAGCTATCTGCGGGGTTTTTTTTTTGTTGTTACTGTTGTCTGTTTGTTTTTCCTAAGGTGTCTGTTGTTGCTTCTGCATGTGGCTCCCCCACCCCACCCCACAGTACCAGGGATTGAACTCAGGGCCTTGCACTTGCCAGGCAAGCGCTTATTCTACTGAGCTATCTCCCCGGCCCTTACTGAGCTTCCTCCCCAGCTCTCTATGTGCGGCTTTGTGTTTTCCATTTCACTACCTTTGGTTTTGGTTTGGGACAGGTGGACTACAAGGCGGATGAATGGCTGATGAAGAACATGGACCCTCTGAATGACAACGTAGCCACCCTCCTGCACCAGTCATCAGACAGATTCGTGGCTGAGCTCTGGAAGGATGGTAAGAATAGCTTGTGTTTGTAATTATTCCTGGCTGGAATCTGCTACAGTTAAGGTTTATTTATGGTTCTTTATGTGTGCATGTGTGTGTGTATGTGTGTGTATAAATACATTTTTTTTTTAAACTTTAAAATCTTTTCCTAGAGCAGGGCTGCCATTATATGAGAAGTTAGCCATTTTGGGAATGCTTGAGTTAAAAAATGAATAAAAACACCTGCCCTCTTGGTCAGATGCTGTGGGGAGTGTGGAAACATTCTAAGATCAGAGCCACAAAGAACTGCATGGTGCCTCAGCTCACCAGGGACATTTTTGTTAGACCCTGAGGGTGTGGGGATGGAACACCCTCAAGCCCTGCACGTGCCGTTTATCTCGTGTTGTGTACAGGTCTGCCGAAGCTGTGTCCTCCCCAGTGCTGTCCCCCTCACACACGCACGCACACAGAGGGGCTGGCGAATGAACTCTGGCGTCTTACACATGGGTTGCTTCTGTTTCCATTGGTCCTTCTGGCTCTCTGGAGTGTGTGAACCTCAGATGAAGGTTCTGTTTTTCATAGACTAGATTCTGCCTAATTTCTGCTAGAAATACCAAACTCCTGTGTGCTTTGTACATCATGAGGACACATCATGTCCTGCGGTTGCACCCTTGATGTCTAACTTCATCCTGGTTCTGTCTCCTTATTTGCTTAGCCTGAAGCCATGTAGAACCTTCACCTTGGAATTGCCTCTGCCTAAGTCTTGGCCTTGAGGCCAGGTCTAATGTGTAACTGGTTTACATCTTTCTCTGTAGCATCCCAAGATCATAAGAGTCTAGCTGTCTTCTCAGAGATAGAGAGAAAGAAACACAAAAGGCAGAAAAGAAAGTTGTTAGGGTGACTGGGGCAGAGGGAAAATTAGAGAAGACTAAACACCAAGTGAATAGGGGAGAGAAGTGGCCGCTCCAGACTGACCAGTGTATCAGGCCCAGTCCCAGTAAAAGCCTTCAGGGGCAGGGTAGGGTGCTGTGCACTTGCATGCCTGCATCCTGGGCAGAGGCTGTGCACGAGACCAGTCCAAATGGAGGCATGAAGGAAAGTTAACCTTCTTATAAGTACAAGAGAAACTTTTCATCTTTGTACCTTATAGAAGTCTTCAACTAGTTACTGAGTACCCGCCATCACTACAGTGGCCCAGTCATCTGCGGTGTGCTGTCTGAGAACAGAGAAGAGGGCCTGGGGCCATTAGAGTGGATCTGCTCTGAGCTGCGCTGGTGGGCAATGTTAGTGTGGGAACTGAGAAACCAGAACTAGAGCAAGAAGGGAGGCTGAGCTCAGGTTGTCACGGGTCCCCAGTGTTAGAAAGGCCAGCACTGGTGAGTTGGCAGTGCAGATGGGAATGGCTGGCAAGAGAGGTGCCCTGCTGCCTCTCGTAAATAGCAACTAACTAATAATAAACAACTCATATTCCCTTAGGAGTTGATTGAGCTGTGACTGGTGGATACTTTGTAGGTCGTGTAGGCACACACTTTCCAACCTTCCAACAGTGAAGAGCAGGAGATACACACAGACTGCGGAGTGCTAGTGTTGTGATCAGAATCATGTGAATGGCCTGGAGCAAGTTTTTAAAAATGAGCAACAAGGGAAAGGGAGATGACTACCTTTTCTCTGGGGTACTACAGTAAATGTCATGAAGGACAATACAGTTTTCTTAGTCCTTGAACAACAATAATATTGGTTAAACCATGAAAGCTAACACGTATTGAGCACCTACTAAGTGTCACGCAGTGGTCATAGCACTGATTTTTGAGCATGCGTGTCTCAATTACACCTTCAGCATTTTCAGGTAAGGAGATACATAAAGTTATATGAAGTTACTCAGCAGAGTACTCATGAGTAGTCATGAAGTCACTCATGAGTACCTCATGAGGTGTTTTGAGAAGTGAGGTTAGTGAGGGGGAGGGAAGAGCATAAGCAGTCACAGGGTAGAAGTGGGGAGGGGTGCTCAGTAACGTCTCTTTTGGCTTTAGAGTAGGGATGGGGCTGGAAGGGCAGGTAAGCAGAAGATGGCATGAGGGCCAAAGCCAGGCTCATTCCCGTGGGCTCCCTGATGGCCCAGTTCAAGGGGAATTTGGATAGACTGTCATCAGGTTTGTTCAGTTTCAGCCTGAGGAAGTAAAAGCAGTTTATCAATTAGTTCGGAGGTAAAAGACCCTGAAGGTAAAAGTGCAGAGGGAGAGGACTAAAGGTGACAGTGGACCTGGGAGGAATATGGAGGAGAAATTGCTGAGGGAAGGGTTTCCCCTCAGAACTTGGTTTTCTGTTTCTTTTAAAGAGGAGTTAGGTGTGTAGAGAACACTGACAGATGAATAAAGGAAATCAGGCCCTGGGGTTGGATACCTGTTCTGACTTTGGAGCCCCCCCTTGGACTCCTGTTTTTATATGCTTCAACCAAAAACTGTGCCTTGACCCATTTCTGTAATGCTGCATGTCTAATTAGTGCTTCCTGTGGTGATATCTGTGAGACAGATGTGGAAGCAATGAAACACGCGCCCTGCCCCCTTCCCCCTGGCTCCCAGCTGGCTGGGCTTCTTCCTTCAGCTTCAGGTCTCATTGGCCAAGGCTTTGGCAGCATTATGGCGAGGTTTCAAGACTGTCAGATTGCCCGGGTTCTGGTGGATGTGAAGCTGGAGTGCGGAGTACAAGCTGCAGATCATGTGTGACAGGTCTTATTGTAGGACCATATCCGCAGAGTCCTTACCTGCATCTTTGTGGTTTCCATTTACTGGGTATAGAAAAGTTACTAATCTGATCACAGAAGAGTGTAGAGCAGGAAACTTCCCATAGCCCTGCTGAGCCCCTAGAGCCCTGCTGAGCCCCTAGAGCCCCAGCACCATCTCTGCTCATCAGTACTTGGTCTGTAGCTCTGATCTCACTGGCTGCACTGTTTGCATGGCCCTGCTTGTGTCCCTTACCTGCTCCGCAAATGCTGCGTGAGAGTGCTGTATTTCGCCACCATCACAGAATGCTAAGGGAAGCCTTATCTACCCATGTTTTCACTGGGCTGTCGCTTCTGCTCTGTAACAGTTGTACATGCTTGCTCTCCTAAATCCAATCAGCAGGAAGCCTGCCACCCATCAGCTCAGTGGACGGCCGATTAAATCTGAGTGACAAGACCTCAGGGGTCACTCACCATGGGGAGGGCTGTCATTCATGGACAGAGGCAGGCAGAAGGGCAGGGCCAGGTCTGTCCAAGTTTGGAGACTGTGTTTTGTGTACAAGCTCAGTGGCAGGCACAAAAGCTGGATGAGGGCTTGAAGGTGGGAAATCATCACTGCTGTCATAAGGCTCAGGCATCGGTCTTCTGGGGTAAGAGTAGCTTTTAGGAAAAAAAAAAAATGGCCCTAGAAAAGCACATGATTATTTTTATCCTTCCATATCCACTGAAATCCACAAGTAAAAAATGAGAACTTGACTATGCATAGATATATGTGACGTGTGCATACATCTTGCCTCTGAGGGTTCAGTGCCTTTAATACAAGGCATTTGATGTTAAAATCCATTTAGGGTCTTACAGTTTTCTCAAGGCCAAACTGGAAAGAATAAGATGTATCTGTGGCAGCCCTGCCCTAGAGATTCATAATGCCCTAGTTTTTGCTAAAAGATACTATATTGGGATCTCTCTACTAGCTTCATAGGATTTCTTTCCACTTCTTAAGGCTTATTTAAAAAAAAAAATAGTAGGGATTGCATTTTCATGTAAATGTGCCTCTAGGGTATTCTCATGAACAATGTATAATCAATTTCATAGGTTTTGATTATTTTGCTACAACATACTTGAACTTTGTTTTCCTTAATGGTAGTTACCAGTTTTTCAGTAATTTGTATTTGAAAGTAAATTTTATTTCCAAAATCTATACTAGAAGTAAAATTTCACAGCCATATGAATTTTTTACAATAAAAAACACTAATCTTGACCTTTTACCACAGTGCTGTAACTTAACTACAGTCTTCTGATGTTACTAATTACAAAATGTTTTTGTGCTAGTAAGCTAGTACCTTATTTCACTCAATACGGTCCTGCACTTACTTGGGGTAATCATTTAACATCAATATGATATAATAATGCTCACACCTGGAGTTGGAAATGTGCTCTTTTGATTCAGCTTAAGCTTATTTTATGAAGAACTTTGTTCAAATGTGCAACTTCTCTAAACAGTAATGTTTGCATGGGATCTGCCCTGGACTGGCTGCCTTCAGAGCCCAGTCCCAAAGTTTACTTGTGATGTTGAATGTCATTCACACTAACTGAAGTGTTTGTGTATTTGCTCTTCTGTCCTGTTTTTACTGTTTCTCTGCTTTAGAGATTCAGAATATTCAGAGAGCTTCTTTCTATGACAGTGTTTCTGGTCTTCATGAGCCACCAGGTGAATGTATACAGCCTGTAGGTTCTCCAAAATAGAAGGGTTAAAACCACAGGAAAGACTGGGAGGGGGGCTGGCCGGGGGGGCTGGGGAGGGCAGGGTACACTGGGAGGGGGGCTGGTTTATGGGTTTCTGTTTTTGTTTTGCTCATAGGCCTGCATGAACTTCTCATTTCATGCTCTGTTTTTTTATACCTCAAGGCAACTGTTTGCATAAATGATTCAATTGCTACTGCATACACATCGCTTCTTATTTTATGCATAGCACTCACAGCATTGCATAGTAAAAGGTAGGTCACTACCTTTTCCAATAGTGCCATTTTGATACACGGGCCGCCAAGGGAATTGCTAGGAATTGACCGGCTAAATGCCATTTCCTTTGTCTTTTGAGTCACTCTTAAATTTTCAACTCATGTTCAAGGTGTATTTCTTTTTAAGTCACTAATATTTTGTGAACAAATAACTACATACTTATCTCAGGTGTAAAGTCTCTTTAAGCCTTTGATTTGGAATTAATATACATAACTAGATGTTGACCTTCTGTTTTGAACTGAAGGTACCAAACTTGTCCACAAGTCTTAATATGTGCAGTTCGAGACAAATACAG